TGTGATCTCAGGGTACATAAAGGGCTCGATGACATCGCCGACGTCAGAGTCCTTGGGAGAAGTCTTGAAGCAGTTGATTGCGAAGCGGGGAGCGTGGCAGCCTATTTGAATCCAGCGGAGGAGGAGCTCCGGGGAGGGCTGGGGGCCTTCGAATCCACCGATGTCGTGTCCTTCGCATTGGAGAAGGGACATGCCGGCGTTTAGAGACAGGGCGTTGGCACCCTTCATGTTTTCCCAGCTTGTGACGTTGTCGCCGCTCCAGGAGGATGCGGCGTAACGGAGGGTTCCAGCGGTGGCGCTGCGGGTCAGGACGAAGGGACGCAGCTTGGGCTCCATGTCCTGCAGGGCATCGTGGGAAGATTTGCCCATCAACTCGGTGTGGAGGGCACGACCCCAGAGACCGACGGAGTTCTTGACGTTTTTCGCTGCGGCATCGGCGACAGTGGGCTCATTGAGGGACATGGTCCAATCATCGTCGGGTAGGGTGTATTCGTTGTTGTCGTTCCACATACCGTCAATGCCAACCTTTTGGAGGCTCTGGACACCGTCGTACCACCACTTGAAGGCCTCCGCTGAGGTGAAGTCTATGTGGGCACCGTCGCCACCGGTGGCACCGCCAGCACTCCACAGACGCATGTATCCAGGCTGGTTTTCGGCATCCTTAAAGAAGCCACCGGCATCAACGAGCTTTTGGAAGTCGGGGTGAGAAGCCAGCAGGAAAGGCTTGATGTTGGTGAGAAGTCGGATACCGTACTGGTGCATCTTGGCAATCCAGTCCTGGGGATCCGGGAAGCGTTCTCGGTTCCATGTAAAGACATTGCGAACCTTGGGCTCGGTCTCAGCAATGGAATAGCCCGAACTCATCTGGTGAGCCGAGCAGGGAATTCCATGCTGCTTAAGCTTCTCCGCAAACTCCAGAAGGGCCAAATGAGCCTTCTGCGGCTCATCTAGCATGGTGTACTTGTAGCCACCGGAGATATAGCCGTAGGCCCAGCGGGGGACCAGAATGGGGAAGCCAACCAACTCGGCATACGAGCGGACAACATCCTTGATGGTCTTGCCAACAATGTAGTATTGCTCAATACCACCATGGTCCTGGCGGTACACCTTGAAGTGTCCCCAGAGCCCATCGATCTCGGCTCCCACAGACCACAGACCGCGGCTATGGGTGGTCGAGAAGATGGCCACACATCCCTCTGCAGAAGCCTTGATCAGAAGCGGGATGTGCTTGTAGAGGGGATCCGTATTGTACACATCATATCCAAAAGAGTCGGTGGCCGATAGTTGGAATTGACGACCAGTCAAATCCATGGGAGCTGCCTTCTCGCCGAGTCCGACATGGAGGCATTCGCGGTCATGAACTGAATAGTTGGCGACACCCTCGCCGTCTACAATGTATGATCGCAGCGGCAAATCCTTGTGCAGAGGCTTTTCGGAGCCGGTCCATGACAGTTTGACCACAGGGGTGTATTCCCAGTCTATGGAAGCAGTGACGCCGGCGACATCGATTGTTTTGGAGGAGGGACCCTCCTTGGTGAAGACATTGGCGCCCTGGAGGTTGATCTCGGGCTTGGTGACACTCGGATAGGGAGGGATAGGGTGCTCTGTGGAGGCGAAAGTGGCTCGGAATAGATTGGGACGGATAGCCTCAAAGGTGAAATCGAAAGCACTCTTGCTCTTTGTGCTGCTTCGGAGGTGGACGGAAGCTTCTTGATCAGTGGCTTGGGGCACTTGCGAATAGCCCTTGGGGCAGACTTCTCTTTGAGGCATGATGAATGTGAAAGACAATGCAATTGATTCAGAGGAACTGGAGAGAATACCAGGATATGCCCTGACATAGTGGTGTATTTGAATGCTAGTCGAGCTCCCCTCAGTCCCATCGTTTCATGTACCCCACGGTGGTACGAATGATGCATTGTAGCTGTGTAGAATCGGAAATCGGAGATAATCCCCGAGAAGCGGAGACGCGACGGTTGAGAGGGAAAGGAAGGGCAGGTTCCGGGATTAATTTTGCCGTAAACCTCCGCATTTCCCCCACAAAGAACGTCCGGAGAGGCCCCACATTAGTTTTTCTCTCGGCTTTGCGCACCGAAACCCGATATTAACGATTTTCGGCACTTCTCATGACTCCTATTCCTCCATCGCCCCTCCCATAGAATTTGCCTCAGGGAAGTGATTGGATAATACATCCCGACGTCGGCCGCGTGTATCGTGTCTTGCCGTTTCTCTCCAGGTCAACTGACCGCGTGGACTATACAAAGTTTTATCGCCAACTATGCCAAGGGCTAAAAAGGCAGAAAACTATGTTGTACGTGGTGTGACACTTCGGGTTTGGCTCTCTTCTCCGGGGAATGTAATATAGTTCCTTCCCCACGGGGTTGTGCATACAGGCTGTACTACATATATCTAAGGTTTACGTATTTTGTCTTCCCCTATTCAGCTTGATTCATTGTCTTTTTATACCTACTTGGTCTTTTATCATTTCCCACCGTGTCTCTGCGAGTGATTAGCTATGTCGCAGGAGTCAACTTCACAGGCAAAGAACCAGCGGGAGGAGTTCGTGGAGACCATTGACCCCGAGCTGTCACAAGCTGTGCCTCCTCAAAATAATGGCACAGGAAGTCAGCCCAAAGGAGATCATGCTTTGCAACTTATTGAAGAGGCAGGGCACTCAACCATCCTAACCCCTGAGAACAACGCCAAAGTTCTTCGAAAGATCGATTTGCGTGTGCTTCCCATTCTCCTTGGAATCTACTTCCTTCAGCAACTCGATAAGTCGACCATCTCGTACGCCTCGGTGTTCGGAATCGTTGAGAAAGCCCATCTCCATGGCCAGCAATACTCTTGGCTGGGGGGTTCGATCTATCTGGCGCAGCTGGTGTTCCAACCCCTGGTTGCCTATGTTCTGGTTAAAGTGCCCCTAGGAAAGTTTCTGGCCGTGTCCTGCCTGCTATGGGGCATTGCTTTAACATGCATGACTGCAGCTACAACTTTTGGAGAGCTGCTTGCTTGCCGAATCTTCCTTGGTATCTTTGAAGCTGGAATTGGTTCGTTGTCTCCTGATAATACCTAGCCATCCCTACTAACGATGAGCTTTATCAGCACCCGCGTTTATTGCAGTCACTCAAATGTGGTACCGGCGTCGTGAGCAGCCTGTGAGATTGAGTTCGTGGTATGCGATGAACGGAATCGTGAATATGGTGAGTTCCCTCCCATGTTGTCCTCGTGACACTTATATTAACGCTGAAGGAAAGTTTGGAAGCTTGATTGCCTTTGGACTAGGTCACATCAATTCCTCTATATTTGCGCCTTACCAGGTGAGCTATAATACAGAATTGCCTGTCGAGGTATTAACATCTAACACCGACTAGATCATCTTCCTCTTTTTCGGCCTAGTTACGGTTGGGTTCTCTGCTGTTGTTCTGTACGTTTTGACCGTGTTCCCCTTTTCGCCGTATTATACTAAGATAATCTTGCTTAGTGTTTTCATGCCCGATTCCCCCGTGTCCGCCAAGTTCCTCGGAGAGGAGGACAAACTTCTATCTATTGAAAGACAACGAATGAATCAACAGGGTGTTGAGAGCCAAGAGTGGAAATGGGACCACGCAAAAGAAGCAATCCTCGATCCCAAGTCATGGTTCTGGTTTGCGTTAATGTTCTCTATTTCGTGAGTTAGCTCAAATCGTACAAATCACTGCACTAAAATTGCTAACCAATCATCAGTGTTCCAAGTGGCGGCATCACTACTTTCGGGCCCTTGATTATCAAATCCTTTGGCCTCAGCCAATATGATACTATGCTTTTCAACATTCCCTTCGGTGCAGTGCAGCTTGTCGCCACAATGGGAGGAGCTTGGCTAGCAACCATTTGGAAAATGAAGAGTCCAGTCTTGGCATTGCTCTGTCTCCCACCCATCGCGGGTTGTGTGATGCTGTTACAGATTACGCATGACAATGCCCACAAAGGGCCTCTACTTGCAGGATACTATATTGTAAGTGTTGAATTGAAACGAAACATCACTGTGGAATGAAGCTAATCGATTTCATCTAGATTTCTGTGTACCCAGCCATCAGTAAGCGTTTACCTCATTCCGGGATTTAAGCCCAGCTAACCATCTCTAGCACCTTTAATATACTCTTGGTCTGCAGGAAACACAGCCGGAGAAACAAAAAAGAAGGTTACAACCGCTATCCTGTATGTCGGGCAGTGCGCTGGTAATGTATGTAACACTCTAAGCCGTCACATCGGGTTTTCGTGCTGACATATTTCTTACCTAGGTCCTTGGACCGAACCTATATACCACAAATGAAGCACCGCTTTATCGTCGTGGTCTGCTTTCTAAGTAAGTTTATCAACGCACAAGTTTTTGAGCGTCACATATCTAACGCACGCCCAGTCTCGCGATGTTTTGTGTCTTGATAGGTCTCACCGGGTAGGTTTTACCCAACTTCGAGTGATCTATATTCTTTCTAATTACGAATTATTAGGGCAAACACCACATATCTGTACTTCCTGAACAAGCAGCATGAGAAGAGACGTGTGGCTCTCGGCAAGGACGCTAAGATTGTAGACCAGTCGATGCAAGCCATCCAAGCTGTCTCCGACGATGCCAAGGAGGATTTGCCTCAACAAGCAGCAAATGACAATGCCTGGAAAGATCTCACTGACTTGCAAAATGAGGACTTTGTCTATGTCTTCTAAGGTGGCAAGTTTAATTAGTCTGTGTTATAGTGGGAACATCTAATTTCGCATTATTTGATATAGCACCTTTGTATTGATTAAATGTAAATTGGAATATAATATGTTTATAATTACAGTCATAAGCAAGAATCACCAAAGTCTCCTTAAATTATAGCTTTTCCTTTGCTGAACTATTTCGTGGGACCTGGTTGATTGTATAGCCGGCTCGGAGAAAAACCCGAACCCCGCGTTTCTCCAGGTTTTCCCCTTCCCGTCAACCCCGACAATCATCAGTGCGAGCAGAAGACGGCTGACTCTACATGGCTGACCAGTCTGAATGTAGCCCGTACAGTACGGTGATTGAGGATGAATCCTTGCACCTTATTCCAGCGCCAACGGGGAAAAAACGCATTCCGGTACGTCGCTATTCAGATTAGGACCCCACAACAGCGGACGAGGCCTAACAATGCATGGCGTTTTTGGTGCATAGAAAGCCTGCAGTGCTTGTCGACAATCGAAGGTCAGTGCCCAGGACTCCCGAGCCTGCATATTGTGGGGTTTTGACTGATCCTTTCAAGGTAAAATGCGACGGAGAGAGGCCATGTACAAGGTGGTTATATTCCAGATTTACATGAAGCCTAAAGCTTATCCTGATAAATCAGGTGTCAAAAATTAGAAAAGCAATGCGTGTTCTTCGAAATACCGAAAGACCCCGTCTCAGAGTACGAAGTGTCCTATGGTGTTATCAACCAAGACTAACATCATCCAGGCGGATCGAAGGCGTCGAGTCCGAGGTTCAATATCTCCGAAAACAGCTAGATCAGATGCGCGAGTTGTTTCAACAGAGCCGTTCACAGCCCACCCCAAAGTCCCAACTAACACACTCCCCAAGCCACCTCTGTGATAGGCAACAGGATGTGCCTCGCGAGAGCGCTTGTGGCTCTCGTTTTCCTCATTCACAGGATCACCCCGAAGGTTTATTCCCACATATACCTGTCACTGGTTCCGCTAGGTATACAAATTGCCACCAATACCAAAGGTCTATGTCGGGGACCATACAAACGCTCTCTCCAAATGAGACATCGACTCAGCCTCCCTACGCGCGCAGTCAGATAATTACTAGACCACCCAAAAGAAAACGGTCTGGGTTTGAGATTCGAGATGAGCCTATTGCGGACTTTATTGATAAAGGCCTCATCACGCTTGAATGTGCTGTGTCATACTTCAATACGTATGTATGATCCGAGAGTTATTCGGGGATTAATTATGTTTTACTGACTCGAGAAATTCCAGCTTCTTTGCAGGATGTGTATGTATCAACCCTTATTGCCATACTTCAAATCCTCATGTTTCGTGAATTATACAGGACAGGTATATCCCGATCTTCGACCCTCAATACGACACTTTCGACTCGGTCCGAGCTCGAAGTAGTATCCTTCTCAACGCAATTTGTACCATTGGCTGCATGGTCGAGACTAGTGAATGCCCTCCCCTGGTATAATTTTGTACAGTACTATTGTACTAAACAGTTTCTTCCAGGATCTGGGGGTGGTTCAATGTCCGACGTTCTCCACGCCGAACTCAAGAAATGCATCAACGTCATAATCCAGAACAAACAATTAAACTGCCGAGAATCAATCCAAGCAATGCTCGTAGTTGCTTGTTATTCTGCAGAACGCTCACTAATCTTATCCTTCGCCACTCGCATGGCCCTGGATTTGGAATTGGATGAGGCATTTGATGAATTGACCCGGCGGCTTGCTCTTCAGAACGAAGATATGGCTTATGCCTTGCCACATCAGATGTTTAAAGAGGAGAGAGCTCTTATGTGGAATGCTCGGACGTGGTTCGGGCTTTTGGTTCTCGAGCATATGTAAGATGAGCTTGACTTCTTTTTATGGGTTATCAGGCTAATGGTATGCAATATAGATTCCGACTTGATGGAGGAAAGCCACCTGGCATTCGGCTAAAGGGGAACTCCCGCCGCTGTCGGATTTTACTTAGCCATCCATGGTCGACTATTTTGGATTTACGGTTGTTCTCTCAGGTTGAGGTATGTGGGGTATCTAAAACAGACTTGAAGAAGTATTAATCTTTCTTAGTTAAATATTCTCAGAGGTATGACCTTTCGGTGGATTTAGATGCAATGACTAATTTACCTTCTATAGCCAATGTCGGTGATGCCCTAGGAGGAAACACATCGCTCGATGGGCAAGGTATCGCGGATTACGTGCATGATATGAAAATCGAGCTAGATTTGTGGTTCGAGTAAGTTTTCCAGTTTTATCGTATCCTAAAAAACCCGCTAACCCCTGGCAGTGACTGGCTACGCATTATCGGTATAACATCAGATGGAATAATGCGCTGAAACTTTCTAACAATTCGAAGAAGGTTGTGTCGCCGCCGCCGAAGAGAAGCCGTCGCTACTAGTCGCCCTTCGAGTGCAAAAATGCTGGACCGAAATGATGCTTAACTGCAAAGCATTACGATCCATGGGTGTTGAGAACGTAGCGTGAGTACTACTCTGGATCATGTGCCTCCATCTGTGTTAACACAAACTTAAAGTGCCATGTCCGCCACGGAAAGAACGATCCTCCTCACAGCCAAAGCAAGTGCACGCCGCCATCTTCGCCTCATAATTGCCGATCCAGACTTCTACCTCGCCAAACTGAAATATGCAATGGATTTTGTCTGGGCCAAGTGCGCGTTCTCCTTCCTATTGCTTCTCAAATTATCCCGTCTGATCCCTGAGCGCGATGAGGAGCATCAGGAGCTGCTGGAACAAGGTAACCGACTCGTCGATGAGCTGAGTAAAGCTGGAGCTAGTGGAACTCAGTCCGGCGCTGGGAATATTTATCTCCAGATCTTGAAGGTCAGTATTGAAAAGTACGGGCGTGCATTGATGGAAGCACAGCAACCCAGCTCAGATGGGCCCACGGATACGTCGCCGTTCTGGGAATTGTTTGATGCCCAAGCGGATCTCCAATGGTTTGTCCCCGAGCAGTTTGTCTCCGAGTGGGACTTTCCGGGGCTCAATTTGTTTTATTTCCCTACTGCTTGGCAGGATTCCCTTGGGGACTTTTCGTTGGCTATGTAATTCTATAAATTAAATCTTAACCTCACAACTGCTCAACGTCGGATATAGTTACAGAATTCTATCAATGTTGAACTATCTACTTTTGCTGTAGTCCTTGGTACTATATATACATGGGGTTGGAAGACATATTTTCATCAAAACAAAAGAAAAGATCTATTAACGTTCCACAGAAACAGTATACTCAACATCCTTCCGAATAATCATCCTCGTACTCACATCACTGCCACTACGCTCACTGCTCCTGTCCTCCTCGGACCTCCCCTCCACAGAGTGCGACGGCCCTGAAGCCTCACAAACGACCGTCCTATTCTCCGTCCCATCGCCCAAGTGCGGCCTCTCCTTGAACAAGCCACTCACCTGGCGGGCGGGTCTTCCCTTTACATTGCCCATCTCGTAATCCCGCGACCGCCCAGAAGCGTAGGGGTCTGTATTTACACGTCTCCTGGACCCAGAACCGTATTCATAGCCGCCGCTGCTACTACCAAGGTTTGAGTCGCCGGCTGTGCCGTAGTTGGTACTGAGAGCGTTCATAAAGGGGCGCAGACAGAATACCGTGCATGCTATCAGGGCGTAGTTGAGATGGAGCTGGGTGAAGACTGTGTGGCTGATTGCGGTGAAGGTGGGGTTTTTCACGATTGTGTATTCCTTCAGTTTGGCGAGATGAATGGCGGAGAATATTATTAATCTATCGTTTGAATTTGTGTTAGTTTCATATATTAGGTTGCGGGAAGTAAAGAGGGACGTACGGTAGTCTCGCCGCGAAGGACACCATAATCACGATTTTATATGTGAGTTGCATCTGCAGACCCCAGATTAGGGTGATACAGAAGGCAAAAAGTAATAGTTCGGTCAAAATGTCGAGCGCGGTGATTGCTTGCCAGCGGGGGAACTTGTCATCGTTAGTATATCCGATTCTACGTCTGTATATTCCGTTCGCGGTGGTTTTTCACGTAGACATACCAGGTTATGGCATTGCTCGCCAGGTATAACCCACGGCTTGTTCCCCTCGCAGTTCACTGCGATAAGCAGTATCGACACTATAATCCCCACTGTGCTAAGCCCGAACGTCGCCCAGAGAATACTCTTATGGCGCTTGCGGGGCGTCAAGCGCAAGTAGATGGCAATGATACAGCATTTGGAGAGGTACAGGGTTATGAGGTAGAGGATGTCGGCGGCGAGGAGGGACTATGCTGTTAGTGTATACATTTGAATGGGACATTGGGTAATGCAAACATTTTGTATGCGATCAACGGCCTTCTCGGTGAGTAGCAATATGTCCGTCCCAAAGCCGATGCTCGCGGCGTGGAAGATGACTATTGACTCAATAATTGCGGATATCTATTCCCGTTAGCCCCATTTACGGATTATGCCAATTTCTTTCCATGCGTACCGTCGCTCCCAAGAGGATGATATCGTCTGATCCCCACGGTGGATTGAGGAATGTCCGCACATACACCCGGATCAGCAGACAAACCAGCGAAATCACTAGGCATATGGCGGCGGTGATGATAATAATACCGGCATGATGCTTGTCGTCTATTGTCTCGAAAGGCGGTGACTGGCCGGGGGGCACTTTGATGGCCATTGTGGCACGTCTTTGGGCTTAAAAAATTTCAGCGAGGGTATCGTCTGAAAAGAAATACGAAAGGACGATAATCAGCGACCATGATGTTGACTCCGTCGATGGTGGCCACACAGCTCAGGCAACTTAAGTGGAGGGACCTAGCAAGGATAGTAACCTTGGGGCTAGTAACTCGGGTAGGCTCGAAACACTTGAGCTCAAGACTCGGCATCATAACATCATTAAGAAACTAGAATTCTACAAAACCCTAATCATAATAGGGGCCCAGTACGGAGTAGAGAATGTAGCGCTGTAGAGGTGATACAAAACATTGTCTTCTCGATTAAGTTAGTCGATCTTTTCGAGTCCCGAGCTAGAAACCGATCGAACGTAACATAGATTAAGTTTGATTGGGTTGATTTATCAGCCAGCCAGCCGATGTGTGTAGATAGTGTCGTATGGGGGCCGAAAGCTTTCCGCTTAAGATATCTCGACCGAGCTGGCGCTCCGCCACGTTAACAACTAATAAATTAAATAATTCGTCATTTCGAACCGGACGGGCTCGGAGACTACGAACATACTCGGAACAGAGTTCGGCGATATGGGGCTGAATGGGGGCCGAAACCTTGGAACCTTTCCGCTTAAAGTGCCCCCACCTTAAAATATGGAATAAATTAAAAAACGCATCGAGCTTATGCTCACGACCTTTTTAGAATATTCACTACAAATTAAAACATACGTTGTAACACAAAGGATCAGGCCATAGAAATGCGCGTCCCAAACACCCACTTTTCCAGAATATTCCCTGATAAATGAACCCGGAATTCCCCCGATTCCTCTCGTCAATTGTGCTCCGTACAGCCCTCTGAACTCGCTAATCCATATATGCCAGCTAGACACTATGTTGTAGGCAGTTGGTGACTATCTATTAAACTGATACTTGAGGGCTGTGCTGTTAAAATATGAAATTGATTTGAGTTTGTAAAAAAAGTGGAAAAAAATACTACGCTAATTACGAGCTAAAGATCCTAGTTGGATCGTGCTATGCAACTAAAGCATACTATCTTGCACGCTTGTTTCATATTCATGAGGCACGAGGCTGCCAAGCCCTTCCTTTTCCTTCTCTTTATCGTAACACAAGAATACATAACTAGTCCCGAGGTCGGCCGCGTTTGCGGCTGCTGTCGCTAAGAACGGCCTGATCTAGCTATCTCCATAGTAGTCTTTTTAGTAGTCTTTTTAGTAGTCTCTTTTCTTGATTTGGTTTTCTAATAGATGGCGGGAAAAGACGGCATAATTTGTGAAACTAACTTTTCTACGAAGTATGAATAACCTTTGATCCAGTCTTTATTGACCCTTGATTAACTTTCTCTCCTAATAATATATCCAGAGTTTGGGATGTCGTGTTGCCCAACCACCGATATGGCGTATTCCCACTGTGCTCTCAAATCTACGACGTTGCAGCGAAGAATCCGCTTTATCATCCCAGAATGTACCTATGTTGTATCTCTAGTTATTACCCTATCTAATCACTTTTCCTCCCTCTAATGTAACAGTTATTCAAGTTGGTAGAGCCTACATCTCTCGCTTCACCAGCGCCACGGGCGGGATATAGTGGTGCCGTCCCCGCAACACATAATAAACCACCGCGACGATAAGAATCCCACCGTACATCACTGCGCACCAGTTCATAGTTTCTGGTTCCACCGTCGAAGTGAGCGGGAAGAACGCGAACACGAAAACCGGGCAGAGGAAGCACAACGCCCCGATATTAATTGCCATGCCGAACCGGCCAAGCGTCCATTTGTGCGGTGGGAGAGGCTCTCCTCTGATACGCTTGAGGAGCACGCATGCAATTGTTATGATATATGAGGACATCATTGCACCAATGGTCAGGGTCACAATGGCGAGCAGTGCGGTTGTGGAGCCGATATTGATGAGTGACAAGAGGACTGTCACTACTAGCGAGACCATCACGGAATTCAAGGGGATATTCCAGCCGGGGTTTACCTGGTGCTGTTAGTATGTTCAAACCTGTAGAAAGAGAGTAAAACATACATAGCCGAAGAAATCGGAGAAAGGAAGGCCGCGATCACGCGCGAAAGACCACAACTGTCGCGATGCCGTTGCGACCTCTGTAATTGTGCTCGCCGTTAGAGTCAGCACTAGAATGGCGGTCATGGTGTTCGTTCCCGGCAGACTCTCTGTCGCGTTATAGAACACCTGCATGAACGGATATCCTGTTGGGCTGGCCAGGATGTCGTCAATGTCACCTAGTGTGAAGCAGACAGTCACCAGCATCAGGAAGCCGGAGGCGGCATTGATGCAGACAGAGGTGATCATCGCCTTTGGCAGGGTTTCAGACGCATCTTTGATCTCCTCCGCTGTACAATATTAGCGAAGTTCATCAATTCGAGAGATAGACGTACACATGTGCACTGCACAATCATATCCAATCAGCGCGGTGATTGTAGTCGAGAATCCAACGAGCGTTGCAGTTCCCGCGCTGTTCCAATCTCCGCCGTTGTTGAATTCGGTAAACACCTGCTTCGCGCTGCGGCGAGGGCCAAGGACCCACAGCGGAATTATGATCGCGAACAGGCCGCACATATGCAGAATTAGAATCAACACCTCCACGAATGGCAGCCGCTTGGCCAAGAATGTGTTGAATATGATCGAAAACAAGGTGATGGCGATAACCAGCAGGGTGCCGTGCCACCGCTGGCCTTCATAATCCGGATGATTCAGCACTATCAGGCCTTGGATGATAGTTCCAGCCAAATAGGCGATCGCTACAATGGCGCATTGCCAGCCTGTAGCACATAGCCAGCCTACATAATTAGTTTAGTTGAGCAGAAGTGGTGTAGAAGAACTTACCGGTGATGTAGCTGAGGAATTTCTGGCAGCTAGGAGGGGCGAACTCCGATACCCAATGGTATTGTCCGCCGGAGGTGGGCGCCCTGGGGGGTTAGAATGGATACGAGACAAGATCTCAACGGGTAGACTCACATGGATGCCATCTCGGCCAGACTCAGGAACACCAGAAGGAACCCAGCAGCGACGATGAGGTACCCCCAGATCAGACCGGCAGTTCCACCATCGGTAAGGCCTTGCGCAAGCAGCCTATACAGTCAGTCATTGAATCGATTAGTAAGTGTGGATGGCATACGTCAAAACAACCTCCCACGTGGCGATCAGCGTGCAGCCAAATCCTACAATGGAGATGTATCGGAAGTTACGCTATAGGGTCAGCGAAGATGCGTTAACCAGAATAATAGGAAACATACTCGCAAGACTTGCTCTTTTCCTAGAGCGCTCATATCGGCCTGGTCGGCCTGGGTACCGCGCCATCTGGGGGCGACATGGCCTCTGGACGGGGCTTCGTCGGCCAGAGCCATGGTGACTGTTGAGGTGTCTTTGTCCCAGGGCATATTGACAT